CAGAGGGGCTGGAGAGCAGCCAGGCAGGGAGGGAGCTGGGAGTGGGGATGGACAGGGAGCTGAACAGGAGCCAGAGTGTGCCCAGGGGGACAAGGAGGCCAATGGATCCTGGCCTGGCTCAGGAACAGGGTGGCCAACAGGGCCAGGGAAGTGATTCTGCCCCTGGACTCAGTGCTGGTGAGGCCACCCCTGGAGTGCTGTGTCCAGTTCTGGGCCCTCAGCTCAGGAAGGACATGGAGGGGCTGGAGCAGGGCCAGAGAAGGGCAACAAGGCTGGGGAAGGGACTGGAGCACAAGTGCTGAGGGGAGAGGCTGAGGGAGCTGGGGGGGCTCAGCCTGGAGAAGAGGAGGCTCAGGGGAGACCTCCTCACTCTCTGCAACTCCCTGACAGGAGGGGGGAGCCAGGGGGGGGTTGGTCTCTTTTCCCAGGCAACCATCAGCAAGACAAGAGGGCTGGGTCTGCAGCTGTGCCAGGGGAGGGTTAGGTTGGATATTAGGAAGAATTCTTTGCAGAGAGGGTGCTCAGCCATTGGAATGGGCTGCCCAGGGAGGGGGTGGATTCTCCGTCCCTGGAGGTGTTTAAGGACAGACTGGATGTGGCATCAGTGCCATGGGCTGGGAACCACGGCGGGGTTGGATCAAGGGTTGGACTGGATGATCTGGGAGGTCCCTTCCAACCCAGCTGATTCTGTCATTCTATGAACACAGCAGGAAAACAACTGCTCAGGGTCTGTACCAAGAGCAAGGAAGGACCTGGGACTGCTCCCGAGAGCCTCTTTCTAACAAATGGAACAGCTCAGCACTTCTCAGGGGCAGCTCGAAACATTCTCTGCCAAGGAAATGTTTCACCTCCTGTTTCCTCCAGGAAATAAAGTCAACTGAAGGCCTGTCCTGCCCCCACATGGCTGGAGATCCCCCTTCCACATTCCCACTGCGTGAGGGGGAGGCTTTTCCAGCCCCAGCCATGGGTTTGGGCTCTGCTATTGCCCTGTGAGTACCCAGATCCTCCAGCAGGAGCGAGGGACCCCCAAATCCCACGGATGCTCTGCCTGCACCTACAAACAAAAATGGAACTTTGCCACCCCAAGACCACCAGCAAGACTCAGCCTCTTTCAAGGTTTTCCTTTCCAGCCTCCATGATCATCACCCAATACCTGGTACGTTTCCACAGGTCTGTTTTCCATATTTAAATCCCAGATCTTCACTGACAGATAATCTCTAGTCATCATATATCGACCACTATGGCTAAATTTGACATCAGATATGGAAGAGATGATTTCAGAGAAGAACGATCTGTTGCTAGGATCTTCTGGTTCTTCAAACACTGTAAAAACGAGACAGGCATTTCAAGAGTAAATTTGTGTCTCTTCAAGATACACCCAAATCAGATTGTTTTCTCAACAAGCTTTCCACACTGGGCTACTCTGTGTTATATAAAACAGCTTTAGGGAGAAACCCTTATAATACAGTTGCCATACCCTGAAATTCATTTCACATATCAAGGTCAGGTTCTAAACAAGCAAATTACTTGGTAATATGTGAAATCTTCACTCATTTGTGCAAGATTTCCAGCATCAAGTGGTATTTGACTCTGAAGTCTGCAGTGTCTACACTGACTCCCCAGCTGAAGCTGCTGCTCATTCAAGTGCTGTGTCCAGTTCTGGGCCCTCAGCTCAGGAAGGACATGGAGGGGCTGGAGCAGGTCCAGAGAAGGGCAACAAGGCTGGGGAAGGGACTGGAGCACAAGTGCTGGGAGGAGAGGCTGAGGGAGCTGGGGGGGCTCAGCCTGGAGAAGAGGAGGCTCAGGGGAGACCTCCTCACTCTCTGCAACTCCCTGACAGGAGGAGGGAGCCGGGGGGGGGTTGGTCTCTTTTCCCAGGCAACTATCAGCAAGACAAGAGGGCTGGGTCTGCAGCTGTGCCAGGGGAGGGTTAGGTTGGAGATTAGGAAGAATTTCTTTGCAGAGAGGGTGCTCAGCCATTGGAATGGGCTGCCCAGGGAAGGGGGGGATTCTCCATCCCTGGAGGTTTTTAAGCAGAGACTGGATGTGGCATCAGTGCCATGGGCTGGGAACCACGGCGGGGTTGGATCAAGGGTTGGACTGGATGATCTCGGAGGTCCCTTCCAACCCAGCTGATTCTGGGATTCTGTGATTCTATGATTCTGTGATTCTATGATTCTGTGATTCTCTACTTTGGCCAAATACGAATCTAAATTTCAGACTTATTTAGATTTTGTACCCCACAGAAATCCAATATGAACACACTCCCACCCTCCAGCCAGATGTCCCACTGCCCATGAGACACTGCAAAGGGGTGACAACTCACACTTTGAGTGTCTGTCACAGAGAGCTGACGCCCTCATGTCGCAGAGGCGGATGGTGCCTTTACTGCTGCTGTACACGAAGGTGCTGCAGCTGTTGGGGTGGAACTCGGCGGCCGTGATCACCTCCGTGAGCTCCTCCATGTTGGCAGGCTTGATATCTACAATGTCTGCAGCACCCTGATAAGGAATCTGCTCTGCTCTGCACAAGGGATTTCGGATTTTTGCATTCAGCAAAGCTCTGCTGGGCCTGAGGAACCCGGTCATAAACCAGGTAAAAGTTAAAATCAATTTGCCTGGAAAGCAAAATGGTAACATCACATTCTCCATCAGTTTGAAATTAATTCTTCTAACAGCAAAACCTTCTTTATTTCTGCTCCACTGCAGCAGTAATTAGTTCTGTGCTATGGATTATCACCCGAGTTTTTCATACAGAACTTAATTTTGCTAAATTCTAAGTAAGCTATTACATTATAATTAAAAACATAGCACAGGTTGCCCAAAGAAGCTGTGGCTGCCCCATCCCTAGAAGTGTCCAGGGCCAGGTTGGAGCAACCTGGGCTAGTGGAAGGTGTCCTTGCCCGTGGCAGGGGGTGGAACAAGGTGATCTCTAAGATCCCTTCCAACTCAAACCATTCCATGATTTCCTTGTGCTCTCCAAAAGCCCCTACAATTACCAAGGAGAAATAACATGGAGAAAACATGGTACACAAAACACTTCTCATGAAAGCAAATAAAATCCAACAGTTTCCTTGTCCCCATCCCACCAAACAATGGCAAAAGGATACTAAAACTCCTGTCTGTGATTTCTAGGTGCCACAGGTTGATCCGCAGGTCGTCTGCAGACAAATACGTTTCATAATCACTATTGATGGAGATGGAATTGATGTGATACGTGTGAGCATTGGCAAATATCCTCCGGGGACTGGCTTCCACCATGAGGTCCATGGGCCTGAACACTGGCACCTGCAACACACACAGCAAGGCAGGTTGGAGGGGGGAACACACTACCAACACCAGCACCTAAAATCACAGTCCTTCGACACACCGAGCTGGCTGAAATATCTCAAATATCAGCACTTAAAATCACAGTCCTTCGACACACCGAGCTGGCTGAAATATCTCAAAAGCACCTCAGAAGTAAATATTTCTGTGGCATCACAGAAAAATTAAGGATCGATGGGGCAGTTACTCCCTGGTCTGTGCTGGGGGAGGGAGAGAGGAATGACCTGAACGTGGCCGGTCCAGAGTGAACGACTCACCCGTAGTGTTGTAACTGTAGTAGGATCCCTATACCGTCCATCTTCCTCCTTTAAATTATAACCCTCTGGTCTTTTGTCCCTTTCACTGATTTTCCATAACTTTATTGTTTTATCTGAAATGAAAACAGGCACAGTTTTAAAATGGGAGCTGTGGCAGAGACACCAGTTGTCACCGCTGATGCCTTCGAACAAGACAAGGCCGCCCACGAGCACCAAAAAAGACAAAAATGCTGCTTGGGGAAAACAAGGCAAGATAAAAAGCATTAAAAAACCTCCTCCACGGTTTGTTCTTTTTATAAAAGAAGTTAGAGCCAAGTTTCATTTAGGACAGGGATTGTCATGAATAATGTAAGCTCTGGCACAGGGACTCACACACATGAAGGTGCTGAGCGGTGCTGGGTGAAGCCCCTGGGCTACAAAGCAACCAAATCCCAAATCCCAAATCCCCCCCCCTGTGCCCAGGGAAGCCAAAAGAGCCACAACCCCAGATACTTGCATTTAAACCCAGCTTGATTCCAGCCTTTTGGCAGTGGAGAGGGTTAGACCCAATCCTAACAGCAAACCTACAAAGTAACACACGACCACGACAAATAAAGTCACAACTTACCATTTGTAGACAATAAAAACTGAGCAGCATTTTTCTGGGGTAACCACCTAATTTTGTTGATCTTCTCTTCAATTTCTAAACTTTTCAAGTAGTCAAACTCTGGTTCATGGCTTTGAAAGGTACTGTAAACATTGTATTCTCCCCTACTGTGAGACTGGGTTTTGTTCTAAAAAGAGAATTAAATGATCAAGTTACATATGCAATGGACAGAGTATGCTTTGCAAGGCTGATTTATTTTAACAAGTCTGTAGAACAGACAAACACAGGATTATCTCTCTTGCAAGAATTTGATTAGGGTTTCTACTATTTTGGCTAAGAAAACCTCAGAGAAAAAACAGTTATTGCAGCAACTTGTGATTCCTAAAGTTTCCAGAAATTCCCCTGGGCCATGTGAATATCCAGCGAGTTCTCATATCAATTCCAAGAAGCTGAATATAAAAACTATTTTGCCTAAACATTTTCTTTAAAAACAAACAAACAAATAAACAAACAAAAATCTTCATTATTCTCTCTCATCTTTAATTTTTCCACCTTGGCTTTTTTAAGGAGAATATTCCTTCCCCTACTACCCAGACACACATATGGCAGATCTACTCAGTGAGTACGTTCAGCTCTCCAGGCACACTATGGAAATCCCACATGTCACCTCTAAATTTGTACCAGCAGCTCCACTATTCTGGTTTATAATCCCCACGTTCCCTGAGAGCTTCTAAACTGCTTAAGAAGCTTTTTTCTTCCTCATTCTAGAAGGGGAAAAAAAAAAAACACCTTAACACCTCTGCTGAACACATCTCTGACACTGGAGTCACCCCTGCAAGGTGGAAATGCTTGGAAAACTGAAACCCACCCGGATTTGCATGATCCCCTCTCCAAAAGCTGTGGTTTAGACTGCACTGCATGGACTGAACCCTCAATTCCCTGCCATGGATGATGGAAAACTGGAGCCATTTGTGCCCCAGCGCTCCCCACGGGCACCTGAACTGGGCTCCAGCTGAATTCAGTGATTTATTCCTGTCCCACCCACTGCAGGCATTGCACCATCAGATGCCTTTGCTGTGATAGCTGCTCTTGACTGGGGACTTTGCTCCTTCCTCCTCCTGTGTCTCACGTCCTCTGCTCCTTTCAGCCCTCAGGACCTCCCCCAAACACACGTCTGTCACATTCCTCCCATGGTTTTCTGCTGCTTCATCCCCTCACACTGAGAGCTGTCAGGAATTCTGACACTTCAAAATAAGCTGAGGGGGGGAGGGAAAAAGTGGACAAAATGCTTAGAAATCAAATTTGGCACTGGAATTCTGCACCACACCTCTCCCTTCCAGGCTTTCCCACCCTGGAGAACGGAAGGGACTTTGTTCCAAGTCTCAGTTAGAACTAACAAGTGGAGCTGGGTCGCTGCAGGGAAAGGAAATCCATTGTGCTGTAGGAAATGCCTTAGGAAATTCAGGCAACTTTCCTTCAACTCCATGCTTACCATAATGATGGAGGCTTAAATAGTCTGTGTGTGTATTCTAGTAAAACTCCACAGGAGCAGAATAATACCTAAAGCCAATAATATATGAAATCCATCCTGGGGAGAAAAGCAAAATCTAAAAACTATCTCATGGTGCTCAAAGCAAAAAAAATCAATCAAACCAAGGAGAGGTGTTGGCCCAAGTGCCTGATGTTAAAATGCAACTGAGGTAATTACAGGCTGCCCACGCAAATTCCTGCCCAGTTTCTGTGAGATCCACACTCATTTCCTGCCTGGTGCTGCTCTGATGTCACTGCCTGCCACATTCCAGCCCGGAGGTGGCACCACTTTGGCAGTGGGTAGAGTCCCACAGGTTTGTACAGCTCTGTGTTCTGGTAGTGTTGCAGGTGTGGCCTACAAAGCCCTGGAATGCAGCAGCAGAGAAGGGGGCACAGAAATCCAAGTTAAATACTCGTATTTTAGGTACTTTCACATATAAAACCTGCTCCAGACAGTTGTGTGTGTGTGGCAGAACTAACTACAGGGAATCAAGTCCCCGCTGTCCGTTCCCTAAAAAGTCCAGCAGTCAAATTATGCCAAAAATAATCCTTTGTAACTTAATGTGCCAACCCAGGTGGTTCTTCCCACAGCTGGATCCCAGATCAGAAGGATGGGAGCCAGGGGTTACACACCAAAAAACAAGGAGTGCCTCAAACACAGCTCAGGGGAACAGGCAATGAGCTCTGAGTTACGTTAAAGCACCCTTAAAGGAATCAAGGTAAAACTCAAAAGAGTTGAAAAATAATTTAAAAAAACAATAGAAAGAAAACAACAAAAAGCCACCAAACACCTGAGGAGTTGGTGCCAGAGGAGCTGGGCAGGGCAGGGCAGCCCCCACTAGATGTCAGCACTGACCGAGGGGATTTACTGGGATCGGGAAGGTGTGATTCCCACGTGCCAGCACAGAGCAACTTGAGCTGGGAATTCCTGCGGTTTGGGATTTTTGGGATTGAAACTGAACAAACCACTAAGGAAAAAGCGACAGCCTGACGTTTCTGGGCGGGGAGGTGACATCTCCCTGGAATATCCTGGATTATCCTCTCCCTGGAATACATTCTAACCAAAACAACTTCCAACCTCAGCCTTAGTTTAAAAAAAAAACAGGCACTCCAGCTCAGCTTTCCACCTCCAACATGGGATTAGAGCCCAAAGATCAAAGGAACAAGGGTTAAATGAGAAGATCCCTTTGCTGTTATGGTTGTGTGATTCTACCTGACTGATATCAGAATGGAAAAGGACATCTGAGGTCACAGCCACACACTTGCTTAAGGGTTACTTTTAATTTCCCCAGCTCCAGTGAAATCTGAAATCATCATCCCAGCCAGGCAGAGCCATTGGAAGAACCAACTTCAGCTCCCTCAAGGCCTTTCCTGTCCTACCCCCACTTTCTGGTTTTCACTTTACACATTCTTTAGACCACATTAAGAATGCATAAAATAATTCCTATGGGTGTCACAAAGTTCTCAATCATTTCTTTACTCTTAAATGTCATTATTTTCATCACTCCTGACACAGACATTCACTTTGTCTACAGTTTTTTATAAAAGCATGCTCCTTTTCTTTAAAAAGGGAATGGATAAGAACAGAACATTTAATATGGTGTAATTAGACAGACTCACCTCCTGCTCCTGCTGAAAGATGACAACTCTCCCTCCCTTGTCTCCTGTTGCTAACAACTCTCCAGAATGGTTAAATTCTACTGTAGAAATTATATCCGCTGCAGAAAAACAGAAATAACCCCCCCAGTTCATAATTCTTCTCATTACCAAGTGACCAAGAAAACTATGACAAGTGTAAAAGAAAATCCGTACTTCGATTTAAGGATATTTGTATTATAAAATGCAAATAATTTCTTTTAAAATAGAGCAGTCATTTTTTAAACTTTACATGTGAAAAGCAGTAAGAGTTCACCATGCTAAAGGCTCACTGTTCTGCATTACTTGGTTTTTAAAGGTTTTATATCTTGTTATGTTTTCTGCTATGACTCTACTTCAGCTGTACCAGCACAGAGAAACCGTGTACATAAATATTCCTACCTTTATTTTCCCAGTTATTCCTGATAGAGGATTTAAATACAATCATTACCCACATGATCTTAAAGCATCTTTTTTTTTTTTTTTAAGGATTCTATACACATTTGACAACTTAAGGGCAAAAGGTACCAGGGTAGAGAAGTTCAGACATCGGTGTCTAAGGAATGCAAGGAACAAACAGGTACAGAAAATTAGGAAATAAACTCATCAGTCTCTGAAAAACTTAAGTATTTCTTCTGGATGAGGAAGGTTTGCATGACCACAAGTATTTTTATCAGTGCTAAAATTAAATAGTGATATACACAGACAAGAAGAGCAATCCCTAGTATCAAACTGAGCTGTTCCCACAGCAAAAAGGACAAGTTACAATCACAATTCCCATTTCCAGGTGCACACCTTGCCCCTCGTACTCTCCAGTACAGAATCAGAAGCCAAACCATCTTTCAAACACCAGACTGCAACACAATATAAACCTCATTTCCTGCAGGAGAAACTACCTGAGAGTTTTTCCACACACAAGTCTTCAGGGGACTTTACTCCCCCAGCAGTCAAACGGAGATAAACAGTATTTCCTACAGGGTGGTTTCCTTATAGAATCTCCATCTCATAACATTTCATTCCCAGCATTTTAGAGTTGCAAAAGGTTGGTATCTGCTCGACTTGGAGCTGAACCACAGCTCCACTGTGCCCTGCTATGTCCCATTAAAGCTTAAACTGCCCCATGGATCACCCCATCCACCCCCTGCCCTGGTTATCTGCTCAAAAATGGATTTAAATTCCCCAAGAACACGGAGTTAAGGATAAAAATATGATGTCACCTTGCACACAGATAAACCAGGGTCCAGATCTCACACAGAAAAACTGGGGTCTGGGGGCACATCTTCTCCCCCCTGGAAGGCAGTGGTTACCTCAGCCAGCCCTTCATTTGTCACGTGTTTGTGCCCCAGATGAAGTGATTTCTCTCCCATCTGTGAGGCTGCAGAGCACTCAGCTGAAGAGCTGCCATTAAATATGGACCTTTCACAGGTGAAAGGGGTATAAAGAATTAATCAAAGCCAGCGAAAGAGTGAAGTGCAAACCAAAAAATCTCATTTAGACCATGCCACACACTGCAAACCACATCACTGATGGGAAGAGACCTTAAGGAAGTTATCAATTAATTGGAGAAGAACAAGGCAACTGAGCTCTCAGCAGTGAGAAGTACACAGAATAATTACCATTGTGAAAAACACACACTGAACAGGCTATGACAGTCTTGGGAAGATGATACAGCAAGTTATCAGCAGATCCAATGTGTCTCCATGGCAGAAAAGAGCAAAGGAAAAATTGCCTTAAAAATCTTATATATCTATCTAGGAATAGATGGATAAATTCATCCTTGTACTTATTTGGTGAAAGTTTCACAAAGTCAAAAGCCTTATAACTGGAACAGGCAGCAACAACAGCCAGAAAAGCCTTAAATTAAGGGTGAAATCTCCATTTTCTTAGGTCTGATCATATATGTTCTGTATTTACTAATAATACAAGTCTCATATATAGCAGTTATTTGTAGTTATCCCAGCCATTAATGCCTTTTACATTTATTTTAACTTTCAGGATCATCCAAGCTTTCCCCCAGTGATCTCCAAGCTACAGGTCCTGCTTTGTCACAGACTCAACTGCACAAATGAACTTTCTGCACTTCCAAAGAGTCCAACGGGCTCAGTCAGGGGTGCCAAGGTCCTGAAAGCTCCCCAGTGCCTGAGGGACACCCTGCAGATCATTCCAAGTACTTAGATCAGTTTTAAATTAAAGACAAAATCCATTCCTTAGCAGCAATTCCAATGGAAAAATATTAATTAGTTTTTAAACTCCAGATAAATCAATAAATGCCATGTGAGCGACCTTGGACTGTTCCCTTTCCAAAATGTCCTAAGGAAGGGACAGAAAACCTGGTTTCTGTTGGAGGGCTGAGATGCTGATTTCACACAGGAATCAGCACTGGAGAGCAAAACAACCAGTGGTACCTCCCAACCCAGTAACTCCCCCTTTGGAATACCACATTCCCATACCTTGGCCAGAGACAGAGCCAGACATCAGGGCACTGCTGATGAGCTGGGAGGGTTTAATGGTGTGGGAGAACTGACAGGGGAAGCATTTCATGTGCCACAGGGCACTGATTGGCCTGGGGATTCTCATCTCTGTTAACACTCTCCTCGCCAAAAGAAAAAAATCAGTCTTATCCTTCTCTTTTCCAGTGGTAATTGTAATTCCTGTAGGATTGTTTCAGTCCTGCAGCACCACGACAGCCAAGGGGCATCCCCAGCCTTGCTGCCTCCTCCCTGTGTCCCTGCTGTTTGTGCTCCAGCAGCTCCAGGAGCTGCTCCACATGCTGCTAAATGATCCTAACCCATCCCTTCCCAACACTGCTGAGTGATCCTAACCCATCCCTTCCCAACGCTGCTGAGTGATCCTAACCCATCCCTTCCTAACTCATCCCTTCCCAAGGCTGCTGAGTGCTCCTAACCCATCCACTGCAAGTGTGCAGGTTTTAAAGCACCACAGGGCAGCAGCAAACACACAAAATTAAGGTTATGATTCTGACAGAAACAAAAACCAGGAGAGAAATGTGTATTTCCATTCTTGCAGTGCACCTGCACCAAGTTTCTCCCTCTTGCATCACTTGGGTCCCACAGCTCAGGGGTTACTACAGCACTTACAAATACTTCTTTGCACAGATCTATACATTTGGCCTTTGGTCCCACATAAATATCCCTTTATAGCACTTACTGTTGTAGAAACACTTCTGAGACTACTAAAGACTTCCAAATAATGGCTTTCAGTGACCTGAAAGCAAATGGGTGGCGGGGTGGGAATCACCTGCACAACCTGAAATCCATTTATGAGGGGAAATGTTTTGCAGCAGGTCGAGCAAAACACTATGAAAACACAGAGCTACTACACAGCTGTACCCTGACCTCAAAGAAATGGAATCTACAGCCAAATCATGCCACTGATCCCCAAAATCTCAAACTGCCAAGAGAGGCTTTGGCCTCTGAGCCATCAGCACATGGAGACAGGGCAGAGTCTGCTTTCCCTGCAGTCATCCAAAGCTCCTGACAGCCCTCCCAGACACAGCAGCTACAACCCAGTGAGGGTTTCTTTTCCTTCTGCACATCATCTGTATTTTCCCAACCTGCTCTAAGCTTTTTATGTATCCCTTCAATGAGACATCTTCACTTCTGAAGTGCTCCAACAGAAATCAGAACCACCAGCAAGGATCAGACACTTCACTGGATTCAAGCACGACTGGATTTGTCCATGGCAGACACGGAGGCAGGAATCTGAGGAACCAAAGGAACTAAAACAAGGGGACAGGCAAAGGGAAGGGGGAAAGACACTTCTCTCAAAGCTTAAGCAAGGCCCTGAGGCCACTGAGCCAGTGCAGTGGGAAGGTGACCAGTTCAAAGGAAGAAAAAGCAAATTCTGTTGTTCAAAGACAGATGAATAAAGGAATCCAACGGGAATAAAGGAATCCAACGGGAATAAAGGAATCCAACAGGAATAAAGGAATCCAACAGATCTCCAATGCCTTTTGCCCTGTTAAAAGCCATGTTTGAAACAAGAAGAATTCAGTGACAGGTATTCAATGACCTTCCCCACTGCCCAGTGAGTGCAGAACCAGAACCACACACGCACTGGCACCAGCAAGATCCCTAAATATCCCAGCAAGGGTTGGGCTGAAGTTTTATTCCATGGAAGAAGGGAATAAAACAGCTCCATCAATCCAAACAATACTGTAATCCAATGACTTGGTTCCAGAAGGCCCATCAGAAACCTGAAAAGCAATTCTGTATTAAATTTGTTTCCAATAATAGAATAAAAGGGATTTTATTAGTAGAGAAGAGGCTATCTATTTTAATGTACCATGAACTTTCTATAAACTCTGCTTATAAAACATGCTTGGTAGGCAAAACATGTCACCTACTCTCCAGCAGAGAGTCAATCATGGCAGGAACAAAGAGAGTCTTTATTCCACCAGACCTAAAAGGTTTCTGTGCAAGTTTTGGGACTCATGTTGATCTGCTGCCTAAGCAGAGAGCAAGTAAATCAGTGTGTTTACACAAGTGGAGCAAACTCCTGATGTTTCCAAGGACTGAACAAAGAATTGTAGTATTTAAAAAGCATTTTAGGACTTCTTTCATTGTTTATACACCTTCCCAGTGGCTCAAAATACCATTTCTGGAATTTTCCAAAGGAGCAACTCCAATCTCATCCATAATGTAGAGAAGTTACTTAGTCTGGATGGTAATTCTGTCCTGAAAACACAATTCACCGGCCTCATGCAGAGCCCACTTCCTCAGTTTGCCAGCTCTAAGGGTAGAAGAAGCTATTTTGATCCAACTAAACATCGACTGATCATTCCAAGGATACTTCAGAAACTGTATCCAACGGGAAACACTAAGAAACCCACTTTTAGGATTACTGTTAAAATCTAAGGAAGCTCAAAAAGCCTCAGAGTGAGGAAGCAGCACAGGAATGGATGAATTCAAAGCACAATTGCTGAGCATAGCTGAGCCATTCTTCCTAGATTGTCTCCAAAGAGAACAAGAGATCTCTCCAGGAGAATTTGCACACCTTAAGTGCCTGGAAATCACTCGTGGATTGTTCCTTTCCAATCCAGGGTGAAGCAAAACCTCCCTGC